TCTATATGACCATATATGATGTTTATGACTCAAATACTACAGCACAAGGTCAAAGACTCTATTGTCACTCAAAAAGCTTGATGAGTGAGGCTCTCTGGACCTCTATGGATCCAGATCCATGGCCTCAACTCAAAGAGGGAACCAATGGACATCAGCCGGGGCGTTGGTGAGCCCAAAAGGCATCACCACAAACTCATAATGCCCATAACGCGTCCTGAATGCTGTCTTCTGGACGTCCTCGTCCCGTACTCTCACCTGATGATAGCCCGACCTCAAATCAATCTTGGAGAACCAAGATGCTCCCTGTAACTGATCGAATAAATCGTCGATCCTCGGCAACGGGTAACGGTTCTTGACCGTCAACTTATTCAGTTCCCGATAATCAATACACATGCGATGCGAGCCATCTTTCTTCTTCACAAACAGGATGGGTGCTCCCCACGGCGAGCTACTCGGCCGAATAAACCCCTTCCCCAGCAACTCCTGAAGTTGCAAGGATAACTCTTGCATTTCTGGAGGCGCAAGGCGATACGGCACCTTAGCGATAGGCGCGGCTCCCGGAACCAAATCGATACCAAACTCCACTTGCCTCACGGGAGGCACACCTGGTAACTCTTCGGGAAAGACATTTGGAAACTCACGTACCACCGGAACTTCATCCACCGAGCTCGGTCTCTCGGAGATCACTCGCGTATCCATCACATACGCCACAAAACCCTTACAGCCCTACTATAGACACTGCCTCGCCCTAGCAGCCGAACAAAAGGCTGATCCAGAACGTGTACCCTCGCCGTAAACCGAAAGAACTCCCCCACTAGGATCTCGTATAGTCACCAGCTGATGCTCGCAATCGATAACCGCGCCGAATCGGCTCAACCAGTCCATGCCCACTATAATACAGACATCACCCATCGCAATAGGAATCAGGTCGATCGGGAACTCAACCCCAAAAATCTCCAATACACATCCCCGGAGGACCTCCGTGGCACAAATCACTCTGTCGGCGGCTATGGAAACCCGCAGGGGCCGACTCAGTGCCCCACAACTAGCACTGATATGCTGACTAAATGTCAAAGATACAAAAGATCGACTCGCACCCGAGTCAAATAACACTAAAGAAGGTACAGAATTCACAAGGAAGGTACCTATGCATAGCATAATATAAGCATAATATCTCGACACCATAAATAAATAATAAAAAGAAAGCGTACCAGCCACAACGTCGGGTGCAGCGCAGACCTCTTCCGCAGTCAGCTGAAAGGCTCTCCCCCGAGCCCTCGGTGCCTCGGCCTTCACGGGCCAACTCTCTGTAGTAGTAGCTCTGATGGCGGCGGGAGCAGACCCCTGAGATGCTCCGCGCAGCAGCGGACACTCTGCCTTCCGGTGTCCGGTCTGGTTACAGTGGAAGCACACTGTAAACCCCTTGGGGCAGTCCTTGGCCATATGCCCCTCCTTGCCACATTTGTAGCAAGACCCCGCTCGACAGACTCCATCGTGACCCTTGCCGCACTTTCCACAAGTGCGGCCCTTCTGGCTCCCGGGTCGGGGATCAGCGGGCTTGGCCCGCTTGGCTGCCGGTTGGGACTGTGCCGGCCGCCGATCCCTCCCCAGAGACTCCGCCTCCTCCCTGGCCTGAGTCTCAAGCTCAATCTCCCTCTTCCGAGCATTTCCTGAAGCTCGGTAAATGTCCGATACGAGGAGTTCGCAGCGAACTCCCGAATATCCCGTCTCAGAATGCTCAGGTAACGGCTCATACGTGCCTGCTCGGTGGACACGTGCTCAGGGCAGAACATCGCCCTCTCATGAAACATCCTCGTAATAGCTGTGACTGACTCGGTACCCTGCTTGAGGGTCAGAAACTCCTGTGTCAGACGTTCCCTCTCCACCTGAGGAACGTACTCATCTCGGAACATGGTAGTGAACCTCTCCCAGGTCACTGCCGAAAGCTCAGTCGGTGTGAAGTGTGCCGTCACAAACTTCCACCAGTCCTTCGCTCCCAAGCGAAGCTGGTTCAGCGCGAACCGAACCTTCAAATGCTCAGGGGACGAGCAAGTGAAGAAGCATCCCTCCATATCAGATATCCACCTCATAGCTGCCACCGGATCCTGCGTACCATCAAACTCTGGTGGCTTGGTGTTGCTGAACTCCCTAAACAATGTCGCATCACCTCCCTGGGGTCTTGCCGCAGCAATCGCTGCGGTAGCCGCTGCAACCGCAGCCTCAGAAAGAGCGGCATAGCGCTCGTCAAATGTCTCAATCAACGCGGTCTTAATGGACCCGAACATCTCTGGTAACTCAGCTCTGATGACCGCAGCCACCTCCTCATGAATGATCTGTCGAATCTCCTCATCGCTAGTTCCGGCATCCTCCGGCATGCGACGTGTCCTCACCATGATCAACCTCTGAAATACAACATGCGATAATTAGAATTTACTCGAACACTCTTACATTCGACAATCCACCCCTCCTTGATTCTTGGTATCCCAAGATTCTTATTTGGACTGTGTACCGCACCGGTGCTTTCAGTAGTACGGGCCCAATACTACTGTCCGCACCGTCTCAGTACACACCCCAAATCTTCCTCTTCGGATCCCAATCCCCAAGTACTCTATTATACTTAAATCACTCTGTAACAGGTCTCACACAAAGTCCTAGCTGCTACCTAATTACTCTCAGCATCTCATAGCAGCTCACCCCTCCCTAGGCTAAGGCATCACAAAACAGGCCACTCTAGTCCTATTAGCAATACCTAGCCTACTCTAGCATGCAAATACATCACATTAATAATAATTATCACATAATATAAAGGTATTTTGGGAATTCACCGTTCGGGCGCTGGCTGATCGTACACACGTTTCTTCCTGGAAAATCTTTTACTCTTAGAAAACTTTGGTTTTTTTTGAAATATCTCTTCAATTCCTCAGTTTGAGTTCAAATACCCCCGAAGGTGTACCCGAATCCCTCAAACCAAGGCTCTGATACCAATTTGTAACACCGAAAATTTTCAAAACAAATTTTTCAATTTTTATAAAACATAATTCCATTGATATTCAATAAACAACCATTTTAATTATCCAAACAAGACAATACAAATCCCAAGATCATGATATCAAGCTCCGAATGTGTGTGTGTACGGATCAAGCCGGCGCCTTCCCGCGGTCGTCACTAGTACCTGAAACAATAACATCAACACTGTAAGCACAAGGCTTAGTGAGTTCCCCAAAATACTACATATAACACATATTAGCCACTCGAGGCTATAACTCTGTGGGTCCGTGCACCCAAACTCTGTGAACCCTCAGGTTCTAACTCTGTGAACCTTCCGGTTCTAACTCTGTAAACATGCACAGCATCAAACACATAGAAGTAATGCAGTACAACACATAACATACATAGCATACAAATACTCTATCACATAACTCTGGTTACCTACTCAAGGTAAAGTATAGTGAGAAGACTCACCTCGCGTGTCTCGGTAAATCGTAAACCTGAAATCGCTAATCACTCGACCTGTCGAGCTGTCGTCCCCCTATAGCACAATACACCTCTAATTAACACTTTCCCAACTAGGGTTGACCACACTATAACAAGTCAATCTAGGTCAACGCTGGTCAACGGTCAACTTTGACCGGACTCGGCGAGTACCCAGGCGACTCGGCGAGTCTGGGCATGTACACCAATTTCCCTGGAATCCTCCCTTGACACGTCGAGCATTCCCTCAACTCGACGAGTTCCACCTGGCACGAGTTGTGGGGCCACCACGACTCAACTCGCCGAGTCTCAAGAACAACTCGGCGAGTCCAGTTAGACTCAGTCCACCTGTCCATTCTGACTCCCCCTTGACTCACTGAGTCCACCTTTCCCAACTCGGCGAGGCCACTCACAGTGTGGTCGGGCAACATTCATGCTACTCGCCGAGTCTGTTCTTCGGACTCGGCGAGTCCATGCCATGCACTGACTCAATCTTGCTCTAAAGGTCAGATCCAGTTCATTAATCCATAGATCCAGTCCCTCCAAGCTCATTTAGCACGTAAAGTTACAATCTTGATGCACATACAACCTCTATATGACCATATATGATGTTTATGACTCAAATACTACAACACAAGGTCAAAGACTCTATTGTCACTCATAAAGCTTGATGAGTGAGGCTCTCTGGACCTCTATGGATCCAGATCCATGGCCTCAACTCAAAGAGGGAACCAATGGGCATCAAATCATCCCATAAATGACCACCACAAGCCCTAAATTGCATCATGCTTCACTAAACAGAAAATGGTCCGAGATAATACCTCTAGAGTGATGATCTAAGCTCCAAATCCACGAAATAGCAACCTCCTTTGCTTCCTCTTGCCTAGGGTCTCCTTCTTCTTGCTAAATAACACACACAAGATCAAGAATGGCTCCTTTCTCTTCACAAATAGCTCAAGAACACAAGGGACACTCACTGAGGGTTGGGGGAGCACAAATGACGGCCATAAGGCCCTTTAAATAGGCCTCAAACCTGGAGATTTAGGGTTTCATTACACAGCGCAGACTCGCCGAGTCCATATCCTGGACTCGCCGAGTCCAGGCGCGCACCAATATTCAATTCCGCGTCTCTACTCGGCGAGTCTGAGATCCAACTCGCCGAGTCCCTCTCACAATATGACAAAATTAGATTTACAAGATACCTGGTAAAATCCGGATGTTACATCTGGCCTCTACAACAATCGATCGATATCTCGCCTCACCTCGCCCGCTACAGCTTTGCTCACTTCTCCTCCAACGACCTTAGGGCTATTTTCCTCCGGCGACCTCGGGCTCGTGTGACCTCGTCGGAGACTGCTCAAATTTCCACACCCTAGGCCGACTAAGATATGGTTTGGTTATTTTCTCTTCCTAATGTTTTCGTTCTTCTATTTCTTTAATTTCTCCTCTATTCATAGCTTTGATTTTGATTTTGGATCTTCTCATCTTCTCCTGTGTTAAACCCTAACTGAAAAACTATACAGGTTTCAATGGCGATTTCCTCCTCATTCCACGATCCTCACTTCTACTCTCTAAGTGTCTCAGGTATGCTTTGTTACTTCTCCCTTATTTTAATTTTTCTTGTTTGATTTCTTAGGTGTGATATCCTTCCCCCTACTTTTCTAATTCTCGATCCCATTCTGATACATTGTTAGCAGTCACACATAGCACCTCACATACATACTCACATTTAATATTTTGAGCATAAATTCGAGAATATGTTATGGTCTGATGAATTTTTTGTATGTTTATCTTATCCAGGGTATGAAATTTTTGTATTATGCTAAATTACATCTATCATGCTGTTACTTTCTCAGATTTTATGTTTCTTTTATCACAGTGATTATTAAAGCAAGTAGTGGCCCAAGGTATGTGGTCGGTTTCATAACTGATTCAATTTTGATGAGTAAATAGGTTAGATTTCATATGGTTGTTTGTTCAGATTGGTATTCATCCTAATTTTCCTTCGATTATGCAACAACTATGATGGAATTTGCTATGTTCCATACTCAGATTATGAATTTATCGGAAAATTGAATAATTAATCTGGAAAAATACCATCTTTGGATGATTTGTTTGTCATCTGTAGATAAGGAATACCGTCTTTGGGTAATTAGTTTATCCATTCTACATGATTATATTAATGGACATATAATTCTCTATTGATTGAACAAAAAACATTGTTTTGTAATGAACCGAGTTAAAAACCAAAAGGGTATATCTGGGAATAAAATTTAAGGTAGGTTTGTCAAGATTGTACGGATAACTACTGATTGGATAAAAGTATTTTGATCATGTTCAGGGGCATGAAAAGAAGCCTGCTGCATGGGTGGATAGCAATCTCCATGAAGAAGTTGACTTAGTTATTGAACATGGAAAACCGGTAAATGACCATAACGCCCCTGATCTAAATTTTCGGGACACTGTTGTGCCTGGCATGCCTGAATTTGATCGGAAACTTGGTGCACCTGCAAAAAGGTTCAGCCCACCATCAGCAGGGGATTGTTCGACCTTTTCTCATATACCTTTTAATTCGGTTATGGTGTGTGTTTGTTTCGTTGTCAATTCCATTCCTCCTTCTTATTGAAAGACCGAAATATCCTTATTATTACTTTAGATAAAAAAAAATTATTAACAAATTCCATTTTGTTTTATCAGGATGGCTCCATTGGTGACCTTGCAGAAGAAGGTGTATATGTCAATGCTAAGAAGAGGGCTTCCTAAGCTTCTAGCATTGTCTTCTGGAACTTGTAGTCATCAATCCTTGGATAATATTGTAAGCCAACATGTCTCCTTCTATGCTTACTATCCTGAACATTTAGCAGGTAAATATTTTGTCATGGCTTGTTAGTTTTTTTTACCAAAATTAAACAAGGGTAAATTAGTTATTTTTCATAAATTTGATGACCGGACAAAAAGTGTTATAAATCATTGCATTAGGGACTTCAAATGAAAAAAAAAGATTCCTTTTGGACCGTATTCAAAGAACACAATATACTATAGGGACCAAAAATATAAATTACTTGAGAAGTAGTATATGATTGCTTGTGTTAATGCAGGTAATACAACTACGTAAAGCAGGTAGTCATCCTCACCTCTTTGCTGGTATAGAGCCAGAACCATATGAAGAGGGTGAACACTTGGTTCAGGTAAAAAAAATATATCATCTCTATTTATTTATAAAATCATACAAAATGTTAGTAATAAATTTGAAATCTTTATGATTTCTTTCAGGCAAGTGGCAAACTGGTAGTCTTAGACCAACTACTTCAGAAGCTACATACGTTTGGACACCGTGTTCTTCTGTTTGCACAGATGACACATACACTTAATGTCTTACAGGTTTACTTCCTTATCTTTTCATAAAAAAACTGCCAGCTGTCAGCTGTGCTTATGTATATCCATCTGTTATTATTTAAACTTAAACTTTTTTGGAAAATTTTTGAAATACATGACTACATGGAGTTTAGAAAATACCCTTATGAGCGGCTTGATGGATCCATCAGAGCTGAAGAGCGGTTTGCTGCAATACGGAGTTTTAGCCGAATGTCCGGAATTGGAAATTCCAATTCCGAAGCTGATTCCGACTCTGCATTTGTCTTCATGATTTCCAGCAGAGCAGGGGTGTTGGGCTGAATCTTGTAGCTGCTGATACTGTGAACTTTGCAATACTAACATCTATGGAGCAGGGTGTTTAATTATGATCTTTGCAATACGGAGTTTTTCTAATTTTCACAAAACCAATTAAAAGTATTTTAAGCCGTTAATTAAGGACATCAAAATATTATGTCTAAGTGATGACCATACAAGGGGCATGGGCAAAAAATTTTGGCACTTGAAGATATTATTACCAAAAAAACATAACGTGATTAGATTGCAATGTATTGGAAAAAGCGATTGCATGTGCATGGCTTTGAGACAATTCCTTATTTGGGTATCACGTATCCCACTTAGATTGCAAAAAATTCTGGAACTTGGTTGTTGTTGTACCCATAAGCCGCGAAGGTATATGAATTTTATTTCCGATTACTCAATGACGATTTGTTGTGTTTGAAATTAGATCTCACTGTTATTACAGTATCACCCATTTGATGATGTCACCTGTATCATTAAATGGGTGATACTGTAATAACAGTGAGATCTAATTTCAAACACAACAAATCGTCATTGAGTAATTGGAAATAAAATTCATATACCTTCGCGGCTTATGGGTACAACAACAACCAATTGGATCTGGCTATCCTGGAGGTGAAATAACTATTACTGCTTTTTATTATTAAAGTAATTCAATAGCCATGGAATGTGATCATACGAATTTTCCTACTGTATCTATGTGATATTCTGATTATTTCATGAATTTACCTGTCCAAGTGTAAAAAGTTTCGGGTTTTGCTTCATTTTGTGTTTTCTAAGTAGATTTTTACACTATTGTTGGATGAAAATACCCCTGCTGCTTGTTTCCTCTATTCTTTATTCTTAAGATGTTTTTGGACAAACAATTTATTGTGTTTTCTAAGCATATTTCAAGACTGTAAAACAATTTAGGTAATCAGAACTTATGATCTTCATTTGTCTCCTATGTGTTTATATTTTTGTCTAGAACTTAAACTTTTTCATTGTCAACTTTAGGTAATCAGTGTGCGTCCATTTATGACATTCACCAATAGACTTGGTCAAGATATATATTTGAAGCTCGGCAGCGAAGATGAACCGAGAATGTTGCGAGCATCTGATGTATGAGTCTTCTTTGTTTACCGTGAGATTGACCAACCTAGCAAGCTACAGGTGATTAGGGGTCCTTCGTGTGTGTGTGTGTATTTCTTTCAGTATACAATTTTTATCTATTTATTATAGTGATATTTTCCTTACATATTGTTTATCTAATAGATCCGTGATGCAGGCACAAAATGGTCATTTCCTGTTCAAATTGAGAAGGAAGACACCATATTTCTTGTTTTGAAGGAGGAAGATGGCACTCCGGAAATTTGAAGGACTGGAATTCGAGGTTATGAAGAGGGATCACGTTTCATTGTTGTACTCCGTCGTGGACAAAGATATGGCCCCATTAGGTACACACACATCATATAACTTTGTATATTTATCAAAATGAAGGATAATTCAAGAAGCCCACTTATATTTATTTCCATGCTTCTGCCTTACTTGTGAAAAAATTATGCTTGACAGGATTGAAAACATAACAGTTGGAGAAGTTGTTAGAATTTGGCAGTCTGGTTTGAATAATTGTGTGCATAACAGTAATGAGGTTCTATCATTCAGTATTTCCTTATTCTCCTTTAACATTTTTTTTCTTTATATCTTCAAACATATAGCTGTAAAAGAACTAACTTTAATAAGGAAAGAAATTAATTGTTGAAGTTTTTGATTGATTAAGTGTCTTGATTGAAACCGGTTGTACATGTTTTGACAAGGAGTTGTTGTATCTATTCAAAGTAGGCTTAGAGCAATGGTTGCAAGAGATGAGTTCAGAAGAAGAAGAAACAAGGCTGCAACTAACTATAGTTCATGTACTATGGATGAATTACGTTTGTAAAGTATTTCAGATAATGATTCGAAATAAGGGTGAATTTGTACACATTAGTTAGATACTTGTAGGTTGATCTTGAATAAGCAAAGGGGCAATGATTGTATTTTTTGTATCTAAGTTGTTTGTAAATTTTTGTTACAACTTCTATTGATTTGTTTTATCTTTCCATGGAACGATTATTTGTATGACATTAAATTTATGCAATTGATTCTCTTTTTTGTATATGATATTTTATTTTCTATTATGAAACATTAAATACAAATTTAATATGAAAATAAGTAAATCTATAAATAATATTTTTTTTAAACATTTAAAATTATGATACGCAAAAATGTGTGTCATCTTCATTTCTGACATTGCGTTTCTTGACAGGGGCTTTCTTGATACACATTGCGTATCATTAACACGCGCGTCGTAAGGTTACGACACGTGAATGCGTGTCGTCTTTCTTTATGGCAGGGTCTTCCTTGATACGCATTGCGTGTCGTAAACGCGCGTTGTAATTGCGTGTCGTAAATGCACATCGTCTCTCTTTATGACAGGGCCTTCCTTGACGCGCATTTGCGCGTCGTCTGAGCCTTTTACGACGCACAATGAGCGTCGTAAAAGGCTGTTTTTCTAGTAGTGACAATTCATAAAATCTTTGTAGGTACATGTTCTAGCGGTCCCTACATGACCTTCATTTCTGACTCCATCTCTTATGACATTAGATAGAGTCGCAGCAATTCTTTGAGCTATGATTTCTTCAAGTTGCACTATACTCATTGAGGGGTTTATTTCTGGCGGTGGTTGTGGTTGTTGTTGTGGTGCTGATGGTCGGTTAGGGTTTAGCCGATTACTCCTTCTAGGCGTTTTGTTTTAGTTCCTATTATAAATAATAAGAATTTTTACGAGTTTTGTTGATCATTTATTACATGAGTACTAAATACTCTAGTTATTATTCCCAGCGTAAAACATAATAGACAACATCATGATTACTATAACATATGCTTCATATTATTACCAGTGGTTACATCTGTTTATTTAGGTTTATAAGAGAAAAGTTTCTATAAACATTGCAAAATTTGCAAGGTTTTCTACATCCTTGCTATAAACTTTTACTCTTCTTGCCTTAACTTGTCTGATTTTTCTATATTTACACAACCACTAGTTTTAGCTTATCTACCAGAAACCTAAGTGATGACCCAGCACGTCAGTGACATTAACCACTTGCTCTTCAAGTGCATGAGTTCTCTGTTCAACACCTCTTGTGCGCTCCTCGTTTCTCGTGGTTTAATTTTATAGCTCTAACTCTGCAATCCTTGCATCGTGAGTAATCATATCGTTATAAGCGAAATTTATACGATGATGGACAACCATCACCAATTCCTGATCTCGTGTCCTTTGTCCTTTAAGCCTTCGCACTCTTCCAGAGAGATGAGCAGCCCTGCCTTCGACAATTTCCATCTTATCTTCAATTTTCACAATTTTCTCAAACAATTGAGATAAAGTGTTATACATCTTAGTAGCACTTTCTTCTTCCACCCACCTATCGACGGTTTGGGCTATATGTGCAGGTTCATCTTGAACTCTATGGCTTCCTTAAGATGTCGCCTTCTGATTCTTCTTAATATTTTTCCATATTATTATGGATTTACGTGCTGTGCGTTTCACCTTTGCTCCTCCAGGAACTTGACGATAAGAGTGTTCAGTGGTGCTAGAGATGATGCCACTGATTCTGTCTCCTCCATTGGTTCGCTCTCTTCCATTGGTTTACTCTCTTCCCATTTGTTGGAGGGTAAAGGTGCTCCATCGTCAGAAGGCATTGGATGAAAGGTGGTTGGAGTTATAGGATAGTAAGGATCGCCTACCATCATATATAATGAAAGTTCCTCTTCTTTATCCGTATCCTTGATGATTATCCATTCTCGTGTATGTTCCATGTCGGATTCCTATACATTTTGGATCACCAAGAGTTTAGTCTATCAAATATTTCTCCAAAATTAAATAGTTCATGTGATCTGATCATAATAAAATGTAGTTGCGCACCTCCACCTAGTTGTGATAGGATCTATGCACATATAAACTTTAGTTGGAATATTTGATCTAAATCCTTGAGATCAAAAACATTTCGAGTATTAAGGCGTATTCTCATCGCAGGTCTGAGTCTTTATATATGACTCTATATTCTTATTTATTGTATTCATGCTTTTACTATTGTTTGTTACTTCAGGTCTATCTGATAAGGCTCCAGCCAGTCAGGACTGTCGAAAGGGCATGATCATTTTAGCGTATAGCCGTTCTGAAATCCAGCAACCCAAAGCGACATGTCTATCCTTGTCACCGCTCCCGTAAATAGTCCTTCAGTAGTATAATTAATAATACTTTTTATTTATAGGCTAAGGGATATACCTAAACCTAATAGAGTAAGTCCTAAACTATAGATGTGCTTTCCTAAGAAAGTACTAGTTCATTATAGTTAATAGCTCTGATAACAATCTGTCACACCCCGGCCGTCGGCGGAAACACCGGGTAGTGTAACGTCATTTTTCGTATCACAGTTATATAACATACATTGAACAATACTTAAAGAACATGCCTTTATTGATGATTGAAAGTTAAATTATTGTTATTCCTATTACATAATATCCGACTGCGACATGCTTCTTAAAGAACATAAAGATACTAGTAAAACTTCTCCTGTTCGAATACATACCCGCTTTTCAAGTTCCTGAAAACACATGCATTTTAAAATACGTCAACATAAAGTTGGTGAGTCCACAGGTTTTGACTCCATAAAATAATACATTTTTACAGATTCAAAAGTATAGTTTTGAAAGTATCATTTTGACTCTCCAACATTGGGTATAATTGTATACTTATCAATTAAGTGTTATACCAAAATATTTCTTAATCTTAAGGTATAAGTAGGGGAAAACTTATACTTAACATTAATACTTGTATACGACAAGGTATAATGTTTCTACAATTTGCTACCATGAGCCTGTAACCGCTGCTCTGACATAATACCTGTGATAAAACAATACACTCATGATTTACCATGAGAACAAATACACTCATGATTTAACATGAGAAACAACACCGTACGCTTCATCGACGCCGGAACAATAACAAATAAAAGGATAGTTCATCACTTGTTTTTGTTAGATTGTA